TTTTTTTTTTGTCAAAACTCGTATTGTTTTACTGCAAGTTTATCATTTTCAGAATTGTAGACAAATTGCTGAAAAAATGAAACTTTTCAATATTTTCTTCATTGTTATTTTCGCCATTATTGGGCTGCAACAATCTGTGATGGCTTGTATTCCGAATTGGAGTAATTGTATGGAAGATGGTAGCATGGGAAATTGTTGTTCTGGATTTTGTTATAGACAAGTAGGATGGGCCTTAGGACATTGCAAAAATAGATGAGATAATTGTTTTTAAATATTTGTTTTCGAAGAATGCGTTACAATTATAAAAAATGTTTCCTTTTAATAAATAGATATTTTGAAATTTCCTACAAGTGTCTTTTATTTCTTTATATATGAGTTTGAGTTTTTTTAATAATAAGGAATGATTAGTAGTAGATTATCAATACTTATGGTAATGAGCAGACATAGATCCTTGTAAAAGGAATTTTGTTAAAGATAAACGTCTCTTTAATCCTTATTATCCTAACTATAATGGTAATGTTATCATCAGCCTCATGCCAATCCATTCTCCCTCGCACTTCTCTTACACATTCACAAAACTGTACACTACCCCCAGTCGTCATGGGGAAACATGAGGAATGCATAAAAGTGAACAGGAATGTTATCGTCACCCTTATGCATCCCCATTCTCTCTCGCACTTCTCTAACACATTCACAAACATGAACACTACCCCCAGTCGTCATGAGAAACAATGGGAATGCATAAAAGTGAACAGGAATGTTATCGTCACCCTTATGCATCCCCATTCTCTCTCGCACTTCTCTAACACATTCACAAACATGAACACTACCCCCAGTCGTCATGAGAAACAATGGGAATGCATAAAAGTGAACAGGAATGTTATCGTCACCCTTGTGCATCCCCATTCTCGTGGGAAATAATAGGAATGCATAAAAGTGAGCAGAAACTATAATAATGTGAGTTTGTTTGTTTGTTTATTACCTTTTCACTTATTAACTACTTAACCGATTATCATAAAAATTCGTACACACATTATCAAGAGTGCAGAAAAGGACATAGGGTCCCTTTATCCAAAAATTGTTCCCGAGGGTTAAAAGAATGAGTTCTATGTGGTTGTCGATGATCGTAGGCATGTATTTAGGACATTAACTCGAGCGAAGCCGCAGGTATTATGATATTTATGATTGCTGCTGACTTAGAAAACTTTAGTACATTCACAAACAATAAGTTAGTTCCTACAACAAAAAACTCAATGTGTATCAGCACAGAAAAAAGACTTTATATAGTTAGTTTACGAAAGTCAAATCTTTTGTTCTATCTAAATGAATTACAGTTTACAAAGCACTTTTTATTTTCAACTCTATTGCAGAATAATTCAATTAGCTTCGAGAAACAATGGGAATGCATAAAAGTGAACAGGAACGTTATCGTCACCCTTGTGCATCCCCATTCTCTCTCGCACTTCTCTAACACATTCACAAACATGAACACTACCCCCAGTCGTCATGAGAAACAATGGGAATGCATAATTTTGAAATTTCCTACAAGTGTCTTTTATTTCTTTATATATGAGTTTGAGTTTTTTTAATAATAAGGAATGATTAGTAGTAGATTATCAATACTTATGGTAATGAGCAGACATAGATCCTTGTAAAAGGAATTTTGTTAAAGATAAACGTCTCTTTAATCCTTATTATCCTAACTATAATGGTAATGTTATCATCAGCCTCATGCCAATCCATTCTCCCTCGCACTTCTCTTACACATTCACAAAACTGTACACTACCCCCAGTCGTCATGGGGAAACATGAGGAATGCATAAAAGTGAACAGGAATGTTATCGTCACCCTTATGCATCCCCATTCTCTCTCGCACTTCTCTAACACATTCACAAACATGAACACTACCCCCAGTCGTCATGAGAAACAATGGGAATGCATAAAAGTGAACAGGAACGTTATCGTCAGCCTTGTGCATCCCCATTCTTTCTCGCACTTCTCTTACACATTCACAAACATGAACACTACCCCCAGTCGTCATGAGAAACAATGGGAATGCATAAAAGTGAACAGGAACGTTATCGTCACCCTTGTGCATCCCCATTCTCTCTCGCACTTCTCTTACACATTCACAAACATGAACACTACCCCCCAGTCGTCATAGGAAACAATGGGAATGCATAAAAGTGAACAGGAATGTTATCGTCACCCTTGTGCATCCCCATTCTCGTGGGAAATAATAGGAATGCATAAAAGTGAGCAGAAACTATAATAATGTGAGTTTGTTTGTTTGTTTATTACCTTTTCACTTATTAACTACTTAACCGATTATCATAAAAATTCGTACACACATTATCAAGAGTGCAGAAAAGGACATAGGGTCCCTTTATCCAAAAATTGTTCCCGAGGGTTAAAAGAATGAGTTCTATGTGGTTGTCGATGATCGTAGGCATGTATTTAGGACATTAACTCGAGCGAAGCCGCAGGTATTATGATATTTATGATTGCTGCTGACTTAGAAAACTTTAGTACATTCACAAACAATAAGTTAGTTCCTACAACAAAAAACTCAATGTGTATCAGCACAGAAAAAAGACTTTATATAGTTAGTTTACGAAAGTCAAATCTTTTGTTCTATCTAAATGAATTACAGTTTACAAAGCACTTTTTATTTTCAACTCTATTGCAGAATAATTCAATTAGCTTCGGTTTGTTATTATTAGATTTCAATCCTTAATCGGAATGCTAAAAATTAAGTATATTTATGGAATTGATTAAAAAATAATACATTCGGTTTCACTTCATAAATTTTAATTTGAAAAGTTGTATGCATTGTCGTGGACACATGTAGGCATTGTCTATCGTAAAAGTGTCGCCAATTGGAAATTCCGAAGCTTTTGTTTGTAAACAAGAAAAGCCCACCGTACGGTCAAGTTTAAAATGCGATGGGAATTCCAAGTGGCCAAGTCGCTCGTATGTGGAAGTGCCGGTGTTATTAGGAAGCAATGACCTAATGTGACCTGCTAATCTTACCTTCACGCAATTACACTATTTTTATAGCACAGTTTAAAGATCGCGATTTAAAGGTAATTGTATTGCATTAATAAATAAAAGATTACCAAACAGAGGAATAACGAAAAGAATTTTCTTTTTTAAATGATCTTCCTTTTCGAGTTGTTAGATGTTTAATGTTAAAATGTAGGATTTTCGGAAGGCTGCAGAGTTATCCAATTTTATAATAATTAAACACATACATAAATTATTATTGCTATTGTTTTTGTATCATACTTCAAGAACATTGTTATTACCGACGCATGATTCCACGTAAGCAGCTATGGTATTGCCTTCTTTGGTTAACCTACTTACAAATAAACATTAATGCATTGGTGTACGTTGGAAATTCCAACCACCCATCCCACCTGGCATGGGCATGGGAATCTGGGTAAATACAGTCCATTTTTCCTTTGTAATTCAGTATATAAGACCAGAAAATAGCTAAGAACCTCATACCAGCTCTGTCATCTTCAGAAAGTGGTAAGTAACTAAAGTTTTGTTTTTCATTTAAGTTTCAAATGTTTAATGTAGTATCTATTAAATTTTCTGTTTTTAGTTTCAGTGTGATTTTGTAAAACCAAAACCTAAAATGAAAATTTTCAACATTTTCTTCATCGTCATAATCGCCCTTTGTGGTCTACAATCAGCAATGGCTTGCATTAAAAATGGAAACGGTTGTCAACCTAATGGCCAGCAAGGAAATTGTTGCTCTGGATTTTGTTATAAACAAAAGGGATGGGTGGCTGGATATTGTAAAAGAAAATAGAATGGGTCTCCAAATCTGTCAAAAAAATCTTTTGTTTGCGGTTTCTAATTAGTATATATGATTTTTAAGATATTTGTATGCTACTTATGCAAATATTCCTATGTAATCTTTTTGTTACAATAAAGAAATCAAGAATAGTTACGAATTATTATTTATTACGTAATCTCTACCGACGTTTCGCCTTGCGATTCGAGTTTTATCAAGATAGATTAGTTTTATTACGTTTTTATCGAAATGCTTAACACATATAAAATTCCGGGGTGATTATACAAGGAATTTCCAATGTCTCCGTCTAATATCATTGAAGAAAATAGCACAAAGGATAAAATAAGATCATAATCATTATTAATTTTAATTTGTCTTCAAAATTCTTATTAATAGCGCAAGTATTTATAATGATTTTGCTATTGTTATCACCTAAAAAGTGAAAGTATCGATAAAATCTGACTAAACTGTATTTAACAGCAAATTTTATTGTAATTGAATAAGCGCTAATTAATAAAATTACTTTACCCTTATAAATTCGTCTACTTTTTTAACTTATGGACAAATACTGTAATGTACACTAGACATATGCAAATTTTAATTATTATGTTGATTATAGTTAATCTTTAACGATTAGCGTTTTATCAGCTCCAATTTTGCTTCTGGAAAATCCGCTGTAGTAAACGATAGTAAGCACTAACTCCAATTTGTAATTATTATCTGTACAAAATCCCAGTCGACTGACGCTACGAAAAATCCTTGGGTCAAATGTCATCACGCACGGTATTTTATGATCAATTTACAACAGGAGACAGACAGAGTATAAAAACACAAAACGATCATCTAAGGGTATTATTTGCTGCTAAATCGTCCAGTTGGAAGAAAAGTGACAAACATACATAGGTAAGTTATCTTTATCCGATATTACAACATAATATTTAGCTGTTATATTGTATTTTTTTCTAATTTCATTATTTTTTTTTTATTTCAGTTTCCGCACAATTTAATTCGACACCATGAAGTTCTTCAACATTTTCTTCATTGTTATCTTCGCTTTCCTCGGTTTACAACAAACCGCCATGGCTTGTATTAGAAATGGTGATGGTTGTCAACCCAGTGGTAGACAAGGAAATTGTTGCTCTGGATTTTGTTATAAACAAAAGGGATGGGTAGCCGGATATTGCAGAAGAAGATAAAAAATTAAAAGCATGTTCTTGTTTGGGAAATGTATTTATTGATGTAAATCTTTATTATCAGTTAGCAACTACTGTATAAATCATTTTGTATTTAAATAAGTTGTATTACGTATTTGTATTCTAAGCTAAAATATTAAGAACAATTTTGATGTTAAAATATTAACCGTTAAAATAAAAGCTATAGAAAGATAGTTATTTATTTATGTACGTATTTAGAAATTATTTCTTTAAATTGAAAAATCACTCGCAATATCTATACGGAAATTACATAATGTATTGCATGCTTTTGTAATTGCACCGAAACAATTAAAAAAGAAATCTGAAAGCTCTGAACTTTCCGAATTTTCGATTAAATTGCTGTTATTAATTCATAAGATAGAAACAGACGTATGTGTTTTTTGTTAAGCACGTCGTGTTTAACTTAATGAAAATTACTTACTTACAGAAACAATAAACTTTATTTTTATTCATAAACCTTGGCGTGATTTTATTAATGGTAGGTAATTATGTGGTACAGTTATTAAAAATTATCTGCTTCCAATAAAAATATTGCGATACGTAAATAACATAAACGACTGAATACAGTTCATTACCACGTTGGAACAATAAAATAGAACTAATAAACTTTTGCCCTTTTCTATAAAATACATATAAATAATAACACTTGATTTGTTAAAACAGCCTACGTGCATGTATGCAGCGATGCTTTGTTGACATATTTTGTTTTTATTTACACGATATAAAAATTAGCATAATTGTTTGTGATCTGAATGCTACTACTATTGCAAATGAGAAAATTAAATTTGAGAAATCCCGAACTGTTATTTACAGGTGAACACCGGGATCTCCATGGCTAAAGGTCAGACAGACAGACGGCCTGTTTTGAATAAACAGATGCTATTGAAGGGTATATATAAACAAACTGCGAGCTGCATGGATCATTAGTTGTTTCAGAAGCTTCAGAAACCAGCAAGTGGTAAGTACAAACATTTTATTTAATTACCTGTTTCATTTAATAAAATGACGTTGGATGATATTTTAATTAGATACTGTCTAAATCATTATCATCATCGTAAGGTCCTCAGTCCAAGACTGGTTGGACACCCACCCCTACTCCTTCCTATCCTGAACTAATCTTCGCATTTCCCTAAAACTAGAACAATCCACATCCTTAATTATTTGCGAACAGTAATCTAATCTAAGTCTACCTCTACCCCTCCTAACTTCCGTTTCTGCCACTAATATGTCTCTGACTAGACGTTCATGCCTGAGAAGGTATCCCACTAGCATATCTCGCTTATTTCTTATTGACTTCCATAGAATCCTCTGTTCTCCTATTCTTTCTAATACGTCTTCATTTCTAGCCTTTTCTATCCACGGTATCCTCATCATTCTCGTGTAACACCACCTTGCTAGATGCTAATACTGCTATATCATCTGCAAATCTAAGCATACTAATCTTTCGCCCTTGCACATCTATCCCTACAGTTGTACTGTCTTTAATGATGTTGATCGCGTCTTCGATGTATAGATTGAAAAGTAGCGATGACAGTTTACATCCCTGTCTGACTCCCTTCCTAATATTTACTTCTCTACGTTGCTGCCCCATCTCTATAACTACCTGTTGCTCTTTATATAAACTAAGTATCACTCTTCTATCTTTGTAACTCATCCCTACATTTTTAAGTATATTTAACATCTTTTTCAATCATTTAACATTGTCAAAAGCTTTTTCTAAATCTACAATTCCTATGTACGCATTCTTATTAATGATTTATTCATTCTTTTGATTATTTTCTACTGTATTTTATTGAATCTTTTACTTTTTACCTACATTATGTACATTGTTTTCAGACAAAATGAAACTTTTCAATATTCTGTTCATCGTTGTCTTCGCCATTATTGGGTTGCAGCAGTCGGCGATGGCTTGTATTAGAAATGGTGATGGTTGTCAACCAAGTGGTAGACAAGGAAATTGTTGCTCTGGATTTTGTTATAAACAAAAGGGATGGGTAGCTGGATATTGCAGAAAGAGATAAACATAAAAATATGGGAATGCGATTTTGTTAATTTTAAATTCGTCTGGATGTTAAGAATATTAATTGTACATAAATAAATATCATTTAAGGTTGCTATAGGTTTTATTTCTTTAATGTTGTTTCTATTTTTGTGTAAAATATTAAGATAAGCAAAGAATAATGATAATAATAGGGTAGGATATTCTAAAATTGGAATGAAAAGACACGGTGTGTTTATATGGTGGTAAGGTGTTCAAAAAAATGACAGATAAATTGCCTTGGATTATCTTTTAATAAATTTCACACTTATATTAATTACATTTAATCCAACCAAACGAGCAGCAAACAATAACAAAAAGTTTTAAATAATTAAATGATTCTACAGTTACTTTACGAAAAATCATATTTAACAAATACAATTTAAATGTAGGTATTATTAATTTCCTACGATTTATTTTTAAAAATATTTACAATATTGTCTCACAATACTACGACATCTTGAAGGTGCCCTATTAAAGATTGTTAAAAATAAATACCAACTTATATTTAATTTTTGTTGTTCAATAATCATCTACATTTACAGTTTTCTTGTCTTATTTTTTTTTGTCTCAATAAAACATTTAGCATTTATTAATCAAATCAGTTAAAAAATAAAAAAGAACAATATTTATTTCCTTCTACATTCTCCTTCCTTCCGGTTGGGCTGTTTGTAACAATAACCGGAACAACAGTTTCCGAAACCTCCATCAGGCAGACAACGTCTGCCATTGATAAGGCACGCTGTTGTCGATTGAAACCCAAAAAGTATAAAAAATACGATAAAAACGATATTAAACAATTTCATTGTTCGTATTTAGTCGATCGACAGTAGATCACCTAAAACCAATCACTGATGTATACAACAATATACAATCCCTTAGGTAAAAGCAATGTACTACAGTAAGATTATTGAGAGATTTTGTTTGTAACATTGAGATGATCTATAGTCTGTACGAACCAATCCAAGGGCATATTAAAATCGTCATTTTAACTACATATATATATTGACTTGACGTAAATCATAGCTAACATTGTGTTTTACATAGTGCAAGTTCAAGTTCATCTGCTAGTTGTAAATGAGGTCGTAGGCCGTTGAACAATTGGCAATTTCTCAATAATGTTACTGTACTTAATATCTGTTTGTGGTATAAATAAATTAAAACAACAGAACTTACCGCACTTTGTAATAATACGTAAAATAGTAACTGCAAATTCACGGTTGTGGTACAAACAATTCGGCCAACGGGCGTATTATATTTATACCTTATTAAAGATCGCCCCCACACTGCATTTTTAAGTTAACTTAACAAACTGGTTGTAATGGCCCCAAAGCCTACATTAGACTACAAGTAAACACGATTAAACTCGAATGATAAACGTCTTTTTAACTAGTATTCACGCTGTAAAACGTTAAAACACCTTGAAAACAACAGTTAAGTGTAATAGGTAGTTATTCAGTTAATTACATACCAACCAATCAATAGAAGTTAATAATTATGGACTTTTTTATATTTACTCATCATATAACTACGTACAATCAATTGGTAATGGATTAAAAATTAATTTTTTTACAAAATGTGTTGTATATTCTCTCCACAGGAATCTCGTTGTTCTACACACTGTGGTGACCTCGTCTTATTTGACCTTCTTAGATAACGTATAAGACAAACAAATAAAAAAGACAAGTAATCAATACAATAAACTTTTTTGCTCGTATTCGCAATAAGATTTATTCGTTTTCTAATAATATGCTGGTTTTTATAAAACGAAAAAGATCAGACTTTTTCAAATTCTGCCAATATTATTTATATCGGTCATTTTTGGTTAATGCGTTTTTGGTGTTTCTTTTGTCTAATCTTAATGGAAATTTAATGATCTTACCAGAAGAACGACATTCATTTGCATGTTTATAATTTCAGAATCGAATCTACGTATTGTTTATAACAAATTAACTGCAATCTGAAGAGTAGATAACTATTGATTAAATAAAAAATATTTTCGTTAGTTAAAATCAATTTACCAATTACGAAAAAACACCTTTGAATCAGATAGCAATTATTGATGTTTTTCACAAAACTATTCTATCATCACTACTAATAAACCTCAGACAACAATTATTATGACCGATTAAACGAATACCAAGTATTACCTATGCATAGTTCTTATCAGTCATGAAAACCACATGGATATTCCAAGGTGGGTACTATTGTTGTTATTAGCCTGAATCCTATGTTTATAAATGAAGGTAAATATGCACGTGAAATGTCAATAAACATTAACAAAACAAAGTTTGATACCTTGTTTTTAACAACATCGTTTATCTATAGAAATATGGGGGTTAATGTAGATTTTAATAAGGTATATAAATGTCTTCAAGAGAGATTGAACCCATTAAGTTTTCTACAACTGCATAAAAGAAGATACAATCAAGTAAGTTACAAATAGACTATCTTATAAAAATTTGTTAGGTCAGNATTACGTACTTTTATTCGATTTATTTGATGTCCTAAAAACATACGTGTCAAATATCAGCGACAACCACATAAAACTAATTTTTTATCCTTCGGAAACAATTTTTTTGGATAAAAAGTATTCTAGGTCCTTTTCTATACCCTTGACAATGTGTGTAAAAAATTTCGTGATGATCGGTTAAGTAGTTAATGTGTGATATATTAGTTACCATTATATATTGATACATGTAGAGCTAGTTCAGAATGTCATGAGCCTTCAAGGGGCGGTCGTTATTGCATCATATTGTATGAACGTTACAAAAACATTGACTTGACGGTTAACTGCATCAACTACTTCTGTAAATAAGCAGAGGACGATCTGAAGATAAACTGCAAACAGTTGCAGTTAATGTTTTTAAGAGGTAGAAGTGTGGAAATTAACGAACGAGTAAAGCTTTGTCATTTTGCAACCCATTGGATTCTGAACTAACTCTACCTGAGATCTATGCAAATACTATTTTCGAATTGTATGTACGTAAGTATATGGGTTTTACGTTTTGATTCATTTTCTTTTCAACAGTTTTCTCTTAACCATGAAGTGGTTCGGTATTTTTTTTATTGCAATTCTTGTCCTCGTTGGATTACAATCGACCAGTGCCTGTATTAAAAATGGTAAAAAATGCCAGCCTAATGGAAGCTTAGGAAACTGTTGTTCCGGATTTTGCTACAAACAAACTGGTTGGAAAGCAGGAAAATGCAGAAAACGTTAATTTTCAAAAGCTGGAATCCATTCGTTAACTTTTTTCATGGTTTATTGAACTGCATAATCATAGTTTCTACTAATAATACGTAATATCTACAATATCGTCTGTACTTAAAGTAGACTTATGTTAAATAAAGTACTGTATTGAAACATTTTTGTATTCCTTGACTAAATAAATTTGAATAAGGATTTTTAAGGGTCAAGACAATCAATTATATTTAAAACTAGGTTTCGCTCTCGTTGATGTCCTAAATAAGTGTCAATGATCATCAACGACCACATAAAACAAATTTTTCATTGTTTTTCTAGATAAAAGGTACCCCATGTCCTTCTATATACTCCTGGCATTGTGTGTACAAAATTTCATGATGATCGGTGGAGCAGTTAAGGTGTGAAATAGTAACAAACAAACAACGAAACTCATATTTGCATTTATATTAGTTACGACTTTTTCGCGATATTATGAATTGCGATTTCGATTTTTACTATTTTCCTGGCCCACTTTTTCGATCGACCTAGCAAAATTTACCTTTAGAAGCGCGTTTTTTAGACTAAAAATAATTTTATATGTCCAGCTAAATCCATCCTCTGTCATGCACATGAACGCGTATCACACACCAGTTTAACGTGAATGAAACTGTCACAATAACTATAGGTACAAAATCGCAGGCTCTCTTTTATTGATTATCCTTTTTTTTTCTGGCGGTAAATATCAGAATGATTACTTTAGACTCGGTCTCGTTTACCAGATCAAACATCAAGTAATTCGTTTTCTTGTAAACTTTCACGGTAACTGCAGGATTTCCAGGATATATTTCTAGGTAGAAGCGTTCGAAATGATGAGGATACCGCGGTTAGAGGTTATAAATGAGGAGCAAGAGAAAGAGTGGGAGAACAGAGGTCGCTGTGGAAGTCAATAACAAATAGGTGGGATAGGTTGGTTGGACACCTTTCTCAGACATTAGGGGTTAGTTAGAAATATATAGATAGAAGCAGAAACAGAAGTTGAGAGGAGTAGAGGTACTGTCCTAGTTTTAGGGAAATGCGATAAATGTCTCAGGATAGGAAAGAGTGAAAGTGCGTGTTCAACCTGTCTTAGGACTAAAAACTTTACGATGAAAACAAATACAGTTACTTAAAATTGGAGTATATTATTTGCGATTTATTTAAATTTATCTTATAATGGCTCAGCATGCTTATAACTAAGTAAATGCCTCAGTGAAATATTGCAATTGAAGAAATTATTTACAATATCCATTTTTCCAACCACCCTGCTTATGACAATATCCGGAACAGCAGCGCCCTAAGCTACCATTAGGCTGGCATCTCTTACCCTTTTTTATGCAAGCGTTCGCAGATCCAAATCCAAGAAGGACGAAAATTGCGATCAACAAGATATTGAACAATTTCATTGTGATGGTTTTCTATAAAATAACAAATTGTCATATGTCTAACGAGAATTACATTTTGAAGTGTTCAATTGAGAGTTTAATATTTTATAAACAAAAAACATACTTATGCTTAAATAAGGATCTTACCTGTTATAAAGAAGGATAACTGATGATTTCTGTTACTACTTGCTGTGAAGAATGAATTATAAATATGTTTTTCCTGGGGACCTTTTTATATACCAAAACTGTTTCCCCCACAAATACAAATTAATGGATAATCCAGGAAAGTACTTGCCACTAAAACGGCATTAATACCAAGAAACGAGGCGCGGTAATTTGAATAAAAACAATTTTTCGGAATTCCCTCGTTTGGTTTACAGATAAACAAAGCCTGAGTAATTCTACTTATTTTGCGATTTCTTGACTGGAATTAATTCTTGACCTCATCGTCAAACGTGAAGATTATAATATTATGATTTCTACATACAACACCAAGAGATATATAAAAAGATCATCCAAATATAGCTTATTTTGTAAATACGGGTTTTTCAGTAGCTGGTTTTTATCAGTCATATATATTGCATAGGCATAAAAGTATGTATATGTTTTTGCAAATTCAATTCATTCGGAGTCTGAGACTTCTGACCTTCAGAAAACCCCAGTCAGTCACACAGTATTTCACTTACTTTGATTTCAAATGTACGACTGACTTTATTCTTCAGTACACCTATGTATTAAAACAATGTGTCGCATTAATGTTTACGTTTAACAATTGATAAATACACGGTACTGAAGTGATTTTTGTGGTTAAATTAATTAAATGTGTATCAGTTACTAAATAATTTTAGTAATGTAAGTACTAATAACTCGTAGCTTCGAATTTTAGAGGTAAACAACAACAATTGCATAAAAAATAAAACCCAAAATTGAGTCTCTAACGTAGATTTAAACAAAAACGAAACACCAAATGGAATTTGCATCGTAGAACAAAAAACAGTTGAAAAACGTATTATCTGATATCGAACTCTAACAGGCAACTACTGGCGATTTCGAATTTGGTAGTTGAAATATAGTTCCTGAATTTTAACGGCTTGCCATTGTGAATTCGATAAAATAGTTTGAATAAAGTTGGGACTCGAGTCTGGATTTGCCACTGCAGGGCACAAGGATGGATTTTCGATTGTGAAATTTCCCGATTTATGCACTAGTCGTGCCCTAGGGACGCCGTTTTTCAAAATTTACACAACACTGTACTTAACTGTAATAGTTTTGTTCAATTCCTCCATGACTATTTAAAGATCTTTTATTCTACTACGTAGAACAATTATGTTCAATTAATTGTACGTTTTCAGGTAATGATTATTATATCGTATCTTCTACTAGCTTTGATTAAAAGTGTTAAAATTCAAATGAGATTGTTGCTTTTGGTATAAAAAACTTGCGTGAACCAATTTACCAATACAGGAATACGATAGGTATCAACTTTTATACATATATGTGTATGTAGAAATATGATCTACAGATGACAAGGGTTTATACATTTTTCATACCTTAAATTGCTTTTTTTTTTAATTATAAAGCGAATGTAATTTCGGAGCTGGTGCCTGCTTTATTTTTAAACCCCTGATTTTAATTCAATAATAATCTAAATCGTAAAATTAAATTAGGGCCCGAATTTTTATTTGATGTTAAATTTGACGAGAGGGTAGATTATGGTTTTACATAATTAAGCAGTTGAAGTTGGAAATTGTTTCAAAAGTAATTACTAAAATAACGACAAATATAACTTATTCATTTCGCTTTCAATGTTCCCGTTTATACTTGAAAATTTCTCATGAACATTGACTTTAATTCCGTAAGCAATATTGTGCGTTAGGTTAATAAAAAGTAAAAAATTGGTTTATTAAGCTAATAAAAGTCAAGTTTAATTTTCATAATAAAACAAAATGTTCCAAGGGAAAATGTTATATTATACAGAGTTGAGATTAATGCATTATTGTTTCGCTACCTAAGAAAATTTTCTATATTACCCAAAAGTAATATGTATTCACATGTAATGTAAGTAATCATCGTCATAAGGTCGTCAGCCCTAAGACTGGTTGGACACGTACCTCCACTCTTTCCTATCCTGAGCTAATCTTCGCGTTTCCTTAAAACTAGAACAACCCACATCCTTAACTATTTGCGAACAGTAATCTAATCTAGGTCTACCTCTACCCCTCCTAACTCCTGTTTCTGCCTCTAATATGTCTCTGACTAGACCTTCATGCCTGAGAAGGTGTCCTACCAACCTATCTCGCCTATTTCTTATTGACTTCCATAGAGTCCTCTGTTCTCCTATACTTTCTAATACCTCTCCATTTCTAACCTTCTCTATCCACTTTATCCTCATCAATCGCCTGTAACACCACATTTCGAAAAAAGAAAAGGTTAGAAGCGTTCGAATTGTGGTAATGTAAGTAATTTAAATTTAAATTTATGCTAAAAGTATATTTCAAACAAAATTGATTAAGAAGTCGTAATTTGATATAAGAATGTTAAGATAATAGTGTTTCAAATTGAGCAGTAAGATGGGTAATCATTTTAAATATGAAAAGGATTATGATTCTGCCTGTTGGGAAAAACGTTTTAATGTTAAGATTATGCGAAAACTCCTATTTATTAATGTCACCATCCCTGCTTGCATCCCTGTTTTAACGAACATTCTAAATGGAATGTTATTAACTAAAGCTTCCCCAGATATTATGGCAATTAATCATAAAAAAAAACGTATAAAATACACCGATTTTTTAATCATTTTCTATATAAACAAAATGATAACTGTAGGCGTTACATAACAAATGTTTGATGGTTTATATTTCCAATAATAGTTATCACGATCCTTTTTATTAAACATAGACGACAAAACGACGGCTTCAATGGTCTCAAAGGCTATAATAATGCAACGAAGAAGAAAGAAATTTGTACATACGTCATTTCAAGATAAAGTATGAGACAGTCGCGTATCATTCGCGGGAGTTATCCAATTAACGAGAGCGAAGTTTCGGTGATCAGCTAGTTCTATGATAAAACAGTTGGCGAGCTACTGAATTACGTTTGATTAATGTATGATAGACAAATATTTAGTTGGTTTATAACTACTGCTGAAGTTTAAACTGTATTTCCGTTAAACAGACAAAAACCTACATTATCTCTTTCTGAGAATTCAAATTTTCGTACGAATGCGACGTTAACATTGTAGAATCTGTTTACTCAGATTGCTATGCAACTTAATGCATTAATTAAATAGAGCTAATATGAATCGGTTTTATGTTGATTTAACATTATTTCAAATTCTACCTAAATACGGAAATCTACCAGTTATATGCATGCATTTAATTAGAAGTTTGTAAACAAGAGCAGCCCTGCGCTCCGAACTCTGTTTAATGTTGAATTTATTTTGACTTTTTATTTGTTTCAACATACTGTACATACATCACGAAATTCCATTGTTCAACAGGATATTTTAATTAAAGAACCAGGCGTGAAATTTTAATAAATTGGAAAAAGTTTTCACGAAAATACGTACATATTGTTTAAACATTTTCTGATCTTTTTTTGCAAAAAATATGTTAGCCTCGATCGCATTTTCTTTTTCGTCGTGATGTCATCGCGAATTGATGCTGTATTTAGTTAACTGGCGAGTAACAAAAAGAAAATTGCTCATAAAAAGAGGCAACAAACTTCTAAGACGTAACTTAATGTTGTAATCACGTTTCTCACAAGTCATTGGTAACGTGCTAGCACTTGGGGATCTTTTACTACTGCTACAGGGAGCATGGTTCCGACGACACAAAACAAACCTTAATTAAAACTAATTAAAAAACAATATTTTTTAGTCAAACTCCTCCGTAATAGTTGAAACATCAACTTATTTGACTTTAAAACTTCAACTCATAGTGCAATAAATAAATTGTTCAATTATTTAATTTAATATTATCATAGAACATCCTTTCTGTCAAATTATTTAATCATTATCAAGCGTAGGTGANATTGAAGGCGACTCGACCCTGCGCTATTCTATGCTTTATATTCCTACTACTCCTTCCGTCCTTATCTGACTTCCTAGATATCTAAAATCGGTCACTTCTTCTAATTTTTTGTCTCCTATCTTTATATTCACTCTTTCCTTCTTTCCTTACTTTTTCATCCCTTGCATATCAGTATTTTTGTTTTACTTTTATTTATTTTCATATTTAAATATTGACATTTACTTCTTTCAGACAATTTTGATAATGCAAAGGTAAAAAAAATTGATAAAATATTTATAATGTTTAAATTACTATTTAGTTAAGCTTACCCCTTCTATTTTTTGACATTTAAAACGGTTATAATAAATTATTTATTGTTAACGTACGAGTGTTTCTAAAGGTACTTATTGGTGTCACTCACCTGAATCAACTAGGTATCAGAAGCAAGATTCAAGGCACCGAATCTGCCCTATTTCGGTAACACAAACACAACATTGAATTACATTTATAAATTTCACGTATGTCTCGTATATTCGACGTCTTCAAATCAAGTTACCTAAGAATAGTTCACTCTACCTATGCACTGCAGTTGGATATTTGGAAAATTTTTGGACCGATGATTCGTAAAAATAAACGCTAAATATTCGTAGTCACGATCAGAACCCATTGAGATACACAGGTACCTATTAAAAACTGACTGCTCATTTTTTCTTCACTACAGTTGTTACAATATCTGTTAGACAAATACGATTAACTCGTTAGATAAGTAAAACTGTTTGTTACACAATGTTTAAAAAATAAATAAATTTAGGTATGTTTGAATGTCAATGCTATGAGCACCTCTCATAATAATGAGGTCAAATGGCATCACATTATACAGAGACAAAAGCGAGACTGTATGTCGTTCCTTAATTAATAGTAATAGTAACAAATAGCATTTTTTATTATTCTAATTTACAATAGCAACCTTCATTGTATACGATATCACAGTTTCGGCTTTCACGTTATTCCAACAAAACAAAATATTAGATATAAACTGAATGTGTCACCATTAGAATAAAATAAAAGTGGGTTAGACACGTTAGGATGACAAAGAAGAAAAGGAAATTGGACTAAAAGGATCGTATCCTTGATTCCGCTGGGAAATAAAGGCAACATGGGTACGTAAAAATTTATGGGCCATTCATATAAAAAACAGTAACGGCAGAGTGACCGCACACACGCCAAAAGAAATCAAGGCAGATATGGGTGCATCAAAAAAAATTCAAGAAGTATTTCCCAAGTATTATAAGCGGAAGTGAAACTTTTTTACGTACGTAAGGGTAAGTTCGTTTCATGCGAGTTGCTATGTAACGAAATCA